TCCACACTCGTGGCTTCTGGTGGCTCTCACGGGTGACTACGTGGAGTGAAGGAGAGAGGAGAGGCGGCAGCAGCTCCTGCTAAGTGGGAACCCACCTGGTCGCGACTGGGTCTCCACCACCTGCAGAACGGGCCGGCGGGCCGGGGCCAGGCAGGGCCCCAGGAGTGGGCACGGCAGGTGCGCCAGCCCAGCCTCCTGCAGCCCTGGTCAGTGCGCCGCCTCGCGGAGAGCTGGGACGGATATTGTTATGCGAGATCCATGGGGCACCTGATGGCCAGGGAGGAACCCAAGCCGACAGCAAACCCCTGTCCGGCTGCTCTTAGGGATTACGCTCCAGGGAGAGGAGGAAGACCGACAGCCAGCAGATGCGGAAACAGCCATGGATCTGCACAACAGCCTGCGGACTGAAGGGTCCCGGGTTCGATTTTGGTCAAGGGCGCGTACTTTGGTTGCAGGCTCCTCCCGCCTGGGCTCATGCAGGAGGACAGGAGCAAACTATGAGGTGGGCCGAAACCGGTTTGGCTCAGTGGATAGAACGTCAGCCTGCGGACTAAAAGGTCCCGGGTTCGATTCTGGTCAAGTATGTACCTTGGTTGCGGGCACATCCCCAGTGAGGGGTGTGCAGAAGGCAGCTGATCGGTGACTCTCTCATTGATGTTTCTAACTCTCTATCCCTCTCTCTTCCTCTCTATAAAAAAATCAATAAATATATATATTTAAAAAAAAAAAAAAAAAAACTATGAGCTGGGAGGTCGTGGTTGGAGGCCCTGTCAGGGCACATGCTCTGGGTCTGGGCTCCATTTGGGGGAGGGGAGGAGAGAGACACGACGGCTGGTCATTGGTTCTCATCATTGATGCTTCAAACTCTCCTTTCCTCTCTGAAATCAATAAAAATATTTTTATATTAAAAAAGGACCAAAAAAATAATAATGAAGTTTCTCCATGTCTTTAAAAAAAAAAAAAAGTTCCTTGCCGAAACCAGACCTGCGGACTGAAAGGTCCCAGGATCAATTCCGGTCAAGGGCATGTGCCTTGGTTGTGGGCACATCCCCAGGCAATAAGGTTGCCTTAATGTCTCAGCAGTTGTCTCAGGTGCTGATGTGGAGAGAGGTTACAAATGAGGTATTTGAAGTCATTTTACCTTTAGTCTATTCTTGGCTAATAGCTGTTCTCCATATAAGTTATTGCAGGTGTTTTGCCTATAAAAAATGTCTTTCAGACGGGATTGCCCTGGATAGCACCTGTTACTGCCTGTGCCCTGTTGGCAAGTGTGTTATAAACATGTATGTGAAGAGGAAACTTATATTGAGCACCTACTCTGTACCACCCTCCAAAATACTTTATAATATATAGTTTACATTACATTATGTACATAAAATATCCAGCAGGCAGTCAATATAAGGTAGCAGTTAACACCTGGACTCTGGGATCAGATCTTCTTGATTAGATTTATAGTCCTGCCACTTACCAGCTGTGTGGTCTTTGGTAAATTTCTTATGCTTTACTTGCCTCGATTTCCTCATATGTAATGTACCTATCTTATAAAGTAGTTGGGGTGAATTGATAAAATAGTATTAATGCATTCAAAGCATTTATAATGGTGCTGGTGCATAATTACACATGACTATTTGTTAGCTATTATTTCATTTAGTTCTCAAAATAATTGGGAGTTAATAATATAATTCCAGTTTTACAGATGAGGAAACTAACCAGAGAGGGTTAGGTTACTTGTTTAAGGCACAGTCAGGATTTGAGATGTTTAGAGTAGCAGTCACAGATAGGTGGGAGGAACCACACATAATCCCTTTGCTCTGAAAGGTGCTTAGGGTCTGGTGGAGCACCATGCAAGATGAGACAAGACCTTTGATGAGACAAGACCACGTGTTAAATTTCAACAAATTTATGAAGAAACTGACACTGAAAGGTGGAATTAATCATAGCAATCCATTTCCTCTCTAAGACTGAGCTTCTTGAAGCAGAAACTGTCATGCTTATATTTGTTTTTCTACCACCTTATAATTTGGGGTAATATATACTCAAAAAATGCTGTTGGTGTGTGAGTGTATGAATAAGGAAAAGTTTCATGAGGGTGTGAGAGCTAGAGCTGGTGAGGGAGGCAGAAAGGATCCAAAGGTTTTGGTTTGGGTGACCGGCTAGAGAGAGCTCCACCCTGCTCTGTGCTAGCAAGTGGAGGAGGAGGAGCAGGCCTAGGGGAGTGAGAAGGAAAGTTAATGAGTTTGATTTAGATAGGTGGAGTATAATCCCAGCAGAGATAGTTATAGGCACATAGAGATAGAGAGAGAGACAACAGGGTTAGAAACATACTGGACACTTCTTTTGAATTTGGAACCTGGAACAAGTCTCTCTAGAATCATAATTTTATGTCATTTTCCTGAGAAATGTTGTTGTCACATTGCAGGTCTTATTCTGTAATTATTTCAGATTTTGCATCTTACTCTCTTAGCTCTATATAGATGGGAAGCAAATTAATTTCCTAGTAGAGAAGTGAGAAATTGCAGAGGTTTCAGAACTAAGCTGAATATAAAATGTGCAATATAAGTGACTTCTCATTGTAAACCTTATTTCTTAAGTACTGGGAGTGGCTTTGGAGAGCTGGTAAAAGTGAAAAATTTTTTTAAAAAATGAAAAATTCTCAGGTGCGTAAAGTAGAAACTCAGGTTACTTATAGTAGAAACTAGAGGCCCAAAGCAGGAAATTTGTGCAAGCATAGGCCTTCCTTCCCCCAGCTGCCGGCACCGGCTTCCCTCTGGCTTCCTTGCAGCCCCGGCTTAGTCCAGAAGGTCGTTTGGTCTAATTAGCCTGCTATGTTTTATTATTATAGATGATACCAGGGTTAATTATGTCATCAATAAAGTTTTATCTTATATAATAAAGAGCTAATATGCAAATGGTCATCACGCCATTATGCCGTAATTGCTCAGACACACAACACTGGGAGAGAAGAATGTGAACCAGCCAGGCACAGAATGGGGGGGGGGGGGGCACGGGACTGGGGACTACCCAGGCACAAATGAGCTTTCGAGAGAGGAACAGGGACCAGCCAGGCTGTGGTCCCAGGCATCTGTGGCTGTGGCCCGGGCAAAGCTGCCCACCCATGGTCTCCTGCAGCTACGCCAGCCCAGGTAAAGCTGGCGTATGCCAGCCAGAGGGAGGGAAGCCCAGTTCCACCCGGCCAGAGGAGGGAATCCTAGGTCCTGGGTGTGAGGCGAGGCAAAAGCAGTTAGGGGCGATCAGGCAGGCAGGTAGAGGGGTTAGGGGCGATCAGGCAGGCAGGTGAGCAGTTAGGAGCCAGTAGTCCCAGTTGTGAGAGGCAATTGGACATCCCCTGAGGGGTCCTGGATTGGAGAGGGTACAGGCTGGGCTGAGGGCCTCACCACCACCCCCACACACACACACAAATTTCATGCACCAGGCCTCTAGTTCATTCTATAATTCAGGCTGAAGTCAATAAAATCAAATTGCCTGTACCAATAGGATGGGAGCAAAACAGAATTAGGTTCATCTTTATACAAACTAGCCTTTTTTTTTTTTTCTGTTAACTTTATTTTACAATTGCTAAACCTTAATTGGAGAGGTTTTATTTCACACCATCCATATTAAAAATTCAATTTTAGCTGAAACCGGTTTAGCTCAGTGGATAGAGCGTTGGCCTGCGGACTGAAAGGTCCCGAGTTCGATTCCTGTCAAGGGCATGTACCTTGGTTGCGGGCACATCCCAGTAGGTGGTGTGCAAGAGGCAACTGATTGATGATTCTCTCTCATCGATGTTTCTAACTCTCTATCCCTTCCTCTCTGTAAAAAATAAAAAAATTAAAAAAAAAAAAAACCTCAGTTTTTTAGTAAAGTCAGATTTGCCATATTTTAGGAAAATAATTTTATTTAAGGTACATTTCTATTGGTTTTACTTTCATGATAGAGCACACGGCATATTTGAATGTGTGATTTTCTAGGTGGGCTTTTTCTTCTATCTATAGAATACATTATTTATTAGAAAGAGTCAAGACTTTTTTTAATGTTTTATTTTTTTTATTTCTTTATTGATTAAGGTATCACATATTTGTCCTCAATCCCCCATTCCAATCCCTCATCTCTCTCCACTCATGCCCCCACCTCCCTATTGTCTTTTACCGCTGGTAGGCTCATATGTATGCACATAAGTCCTTTGGTTGATCTCTCTCTTTTATCCCCACCCTCCCTTTGAGGTCCAACAGTCTGACCCATGCCTCCTTATCTCTGGTTCTGTTCTTCAAGACATTTTTATCATATCTACTAGGATTTGAAAGATTATTAATGAATAGTGTAGTATTTTAAATTTAACTTTTTCTGTGTATTCCTAAATAACTTAATTACTTTAGAGTATCCAGAAAAGACTATTGATATTATTTAGTGTGTTTATCTGTTTACATATTGTAATCTATGGTCAGAGTGGTGATTATCCATTACTAAATATCTAAGCTTTTACATTACAGTGCCCTTTTTAAAAAGCTACGGTAACTTCAATCTTTAAAAATATATTTTCATTATTTAAAGTTATATTTGAGCTGGCCACATGGCTCAGTGGTTGAGCGTCGACCCGTGAACCAGGAGGTCACTGTTCCATTCTCAGTCAGGGCACATGCCAGGTTTGTGGGCTTGATCCGCAGTTCAGGGGTGTGAACTCTCATCGTTGATGTTTCTATCTCTTTCTCCCTCTCCTTTCCTCTCTGAAATCAATAAAAACATATTTTAAAAAATAAAGTTATATTCGGGCACTTGTTTTTCTCTCTTTGTTTTTAAAAACTTTTTAAAATTCAGTCATATTTATTATCTTTTTCATATTTTTATCTTCCAGGAGTCAGAAGAAAGCAGTGGAAATTGGAGTCATTGTAAAGTCATTGAAACCATTTACAAGAAAATCTCAGTGAATAAAAGTTGTTTAAATTAGTGACATAAAACCAGTTATTAAGGTGACAGTGTACAGGAAACGTTAAAATTGAACAATGACTCAGCTATACGTTTATGTCACCTTATTGGGAGCCTATCTGTCCATCCTGTCACCTGTTCAAGGTAAACCATTGTTCATCTAAGCAATCTTACCTTTTTTTACATAATTTATTTCTGTATATAAAAAAGCATTTATTCCTGCAACTATTTCAGCTCCCTTTTTTTGAACAGTTAGGGTCAGTATAGCAGCATAAATTTTAAGAGACAAAGAACAAGTTTCCCAAATAGCTTTTGAACTTGACTGTGATAGGAACATTGTGTAAAATCTAAGCCTTTCTGAACCTGTTGTCTTATTCATAGCATAGGCATTGTGATACATAGCATCAGTTCTTGTGAGGATTAAATGAGATAAAGTATAAAATAAAGTAATTGACATAGTGCATGTGGTACAGGTAATAGGTACTTAAGACTTAGTTCAGCCCAGCTGGTGTGGGTCAGTGGTTGTGCTTGGACCCATGAACCAGAAAACTTCCAGTCAGGGCACATGTCTGAGTTTTGGGCTCGATCCTCAGTGGGGGGGCTTGCAGGAAGCAGCCGATTGATATTTCTATCTCTGTATCCCTCTCCCTTCCTCTCTCTAAAAAATAAATAAAAACATTTTTTAAGAAGAATTAGTTTAAAATTCCTGTCTCTTTAAAATACAATAAGGAATAAATTAAATAATTTAAAAAATTATTGTTGTTATAAGGCTTCAGAAATATAAATGGCACTTATGTATGTGTGCTGAATACTAATACCGTGTTTCCCCGAAAATAAGACATCCTCCGAAAATAAGACCTAGCGCATGGAAAGATAAGACATCCCCTGAAAATAAGACCTAGCGCAACTTTGGAAGAAAAAATTAATATAAGACACTGTCTTATTTTCGGGAAAACAGGGTAGTTCTTCAAAAACTACTGTTTTATTTATGATCAATATTGTAATTTTACTCTGTTTTGTTCAGAGCTTGGCACTTTCAAAAAGGAAGTTGCTGTGATAACTCATAGGATCAAATACAGCCGTATTTTCATATGAGCTCTTTTTGTTTGGTTTAATTAGAACAATAATTTAAACTGAAAAGAAAATATTTTGCAAAAGGAATTTAGATATAACTTATTCATCATCTTTATTTTATATTTATGACCACAGATTGCTCTTTCATGTTTTGTTCACAGTGATATGGATTAATATCTACTAACAGGAAAAAATATTAGCAGCATAAATCTTTTGACATTTTTTACTTTAAAGCATGAGCATAATAATGAATCCTGTAGTTTTTTTTGTCCTTTGTCTTAGGTACAATACCCTCATTATTATCATACAGAGCCCTCTTGCAAAAGCCACTTTTTGTTATTTATTTTTAATAATTTTTAATGATTTCAGAGAGGAAGGGAGAGGGAGTGGGAGAGAGCAAGCAAAATATCAGTGTTAAGAATCATTGATTGGCTGCCTCTTGCACCCCGACATTGGGGGTTGAGCTTGCTTGCAACCTGGGCATGTGGCCTTGACTGAAACTTTCAGTCCACAGACCTATTCTTTATCCACTGAGCCAAACAAGCTAGAGTGCAAAAACTTTTTAAATAAGCCAAACCGGTTTGGCTCAATGGTAGAGTGAAAGGTCCCAGGTTCTATTCCAATCAAGGGCATGTACATTGGTTGCGGGCACATCCCCAGTAGGGGGTGTGCAAAAGGCAGCTGATCGATGTCTCATCAATGTTTCTAACTCTCTATCTCCCTTCCTCTCTGTAAAAAATCAATAAAATATATATTTTTTAAAACTTTTTAAATGAAATACCATCTTATTTAATAAAACAATTTTATTTTAGCATCTGTTGTTATATGCCTTGTTGATCAGCATCAACCAAAGCTGTCATAGTTTTTAAGATGAATTAACACTTATATTGTTACCTTGCTTCCAGGTAATCTATTTGGTATTTTAAAAATACTTAATCTATATAGATCACACAGAGGGAATATGGTATAAAATTCTCATTCCCACCTGACTTAGTTTGTCTTATTATAAAAAATTTTAGATGAAATAAATTAATAATTAGTTATAAGGCATAAGTGAAAAATCTTAGTATGAATTTTTTTTCTCTGATAAAGAGCAAAATTTGTTAATTTCCTTTCAAAAAAGTGTAGTTTGTAGTTCCTTTATTTTTTAATTTTAATTTTTGATTTTTTTATTGTTGATAATATTACAAATGTCCCCCATTTCCCATTTTGCCCCTAATTTATAGTTGCTTTAAGATAACATTTGCTCTTAAAGAGAAGAAAGAACTAAAATTTGTATAGGGAGGAAAGACGAATGTAGGAGAAAATGTTATTTCTTAAAGATTACTAAGAAGGATTGGAGAGTGGTATTAATGAAGATGACTTTGACTTAGGGTCTATCTTTATCTTGAATTGTGTCTTGGGAAAGTAAATCTTCCTGTACCTTGGTCCTTGTTAGAAAATAGAAATAATGACACTTATCCTAGCTATAAACAGGAGTATTTTGAGCATCAAATATTATGATCAGATTAAAGCACTTTTACATTGAGATAAAACTGCTCAAGTTAGAATCTCATTTTAACATCTGATAGTTCTTGGTTTTTACTTGGTCATATTTTAGTTTTAAGTTAAAATTAACCAATAAACAGAGACTTAAAGAGAGATTATTTTTGGGGGGGAGAGAGATGGTAAACGTTTTCTGGTGTTCTTTTAATGGTTGAGTGGGGTCAAGGTTGGCATTTCTGTGATTTTCTTGGCTTTTCCCTTAGGGTTACAGAATGGCTGCTGCTATTTGCATTGAGGAAAGAAAAATGGGGGAATGGTCAGTCCTGGCTTCAGCTGGACTTTATATCAAGAAAGCAAAAGTGTCCCAGCTGACTTGTTTTAAAAAAAATACCATGTGCAGTTGCGCACGTACAGTGCCATTGAAACTTGGTGGCCCATGCGCAGAAGTCGGTTTTTGGCTCTCAAAAGAAATTTCAATCGTTGTACTGTTGATATTTGGCTCTGTTGACTAATGAGTTTGCCGACCACTGGCTTAGATTAATAGCTAAATCCATTACTTAGAGTTGGACATGCCTCTACCCCAACAAAATCAGAGTTCTGTTAACTAGGAAGACGGAGAAGGAGTGAGGGAATAAGTATCCATTGAACAACTAAAAGGATCTGAACCAGATTTTATCTTTTTTATCTGAAAACATTTTAAGACTAATAGTAACAAAAACCCAAAGTAAGTGAAATAGCTTAAACAATAAGAAAAATGTTAATATCACACTTGGGATGAACATAGGGGTAATCCAATTAGTTAATTCCTTGGCTCATCAAAGTCTTTCTCTGTTTAAACTGTGCTGTTCTGCACATAGCAATTTAACCATAGGCTAACTCACTTCCTGACCACTGGCTGCTGGGGGCCAAGCATGATATGCAGATGTAGAAACTTCAGTTGACAGCATTCAGTGGAAGAAGAGGGTGGCTGTCTTTTTACTTGGTTAAATCTTTCCTCAGACACCTCCTCAACCTCTACCCCACAAACTTCCCTCTAATTTTATAGGCAGAACTTATATGTTCTTGTGTAAACAGCAAGGGGAATGGAACTAAAATTTTTAGACAGTTACCTTTAGAGAGTAGGGCTGTGCTTCTCTGAGTCACGTGAAGGCGGGGCAGATACTTAAACACAAAAAGTGGGTGGGAGTAGGTGCACGCAGACATTGTCACCAAGGTAAAGGGGAGTAGGACAATTTGAAATAGGATGAATTCAAATTTTAAGCAAGGTTACAGGCAGAACTTCCTTTTTTTTTTTTTTTTTTAAATTAAAGAGCCAGCCCTATGTGCACTTAGTGGTTATCTCGATGCTGGCCTTGAAAAACAATACCAGTTCTATCCAATTGAGAAGATGCACCTGGCATGGTATTGAGATTGTGAGCATATCTGGTCTCTGGTCTACAAGGTCAGACAGCTAAGTTTATCTTCATCATTCTTCAAATGGGCAAAAGCAAACTAGAAAGCAACATTTTATCTAGGAAGAACAGCAGAAAATTCCAAACAACAGTTTGTTGCAAAATAGGGGTTTTCCTTCTCAGAACCTTTAAAAATAACTACCTGCTCCTGAAGCGGCGCAATCGTGTAGGGTCCACCTGCGTGTGGTACTCTCGCAGCTGTCCTGGCCAGATGTTTCAATAAATCTTTTGCCTGCTTTTTTTTAATAAATCATCAGCCTCCGGTGGTCTTATTTTGAACCCAGGGTTCGACCCCACAACAGATTAACAGTATTTGTTGTAGGGCAGCCTTTGATCTCTCTAACATCATGCCTCCCCTTTCTCACATGCATATACTAGAAGCATTAGCATTGACATGAAATATTCAGATCCTCCCCAAAGGGACTTACAACCCAGAGTTTCATTCACTTAATATTCAGCTACTACCCCAGGGTTTTTAGATTCTCTGTAGCCTTCCCCATCAGGTTCAGATCCATGACAGTGACTTGTGTTTATGAAATTTAATTTTAATGAAAGACAAATTATCTACAATTACTATGATTAAAAAAAAAAGCTTAGAAATATTTCCTCATTGAAAACTAAAATCAAAGAATTAGCTTTTCAGAAATGGCTTAAATTTCACGTATGATTACAGGACAGAATCTAGACAGTATGCTCCATGGCACTGGGATGAAATCAGACTCTGACCAGCAAAAGTCAGAAAGTGGAGTCACCTTAGCCCCAGAAGACACCCTGCCTTTTCTGAAGTGCTACTGCTCGGGCCACTGCCCCGATGATGCTGTCAACAATACGTGCATGTGAGTATTTCTTCTCAGTGAGGAGGAGGGCATGGCATTCAGTGCTGTTTTAGCAATGATTTACCTCATCTATGACTTTTTTTTCTTTAACTTTATATCATGTCTTCCTAAGAGCCAAAAGCTTTTTGCTCTTTATATGGGAATATTTATTTCTGTTGATTGATGCTTACTTTATTCTTTTTTAATCTTTATTGTTGAAAGTATTAAATGTGTTCCCCTTTTCCCCCATTAAAACCCTCCAGCCCACCACTACTCCAATTAGGCTTTCACCACCTAATTGTCCATGTCCCTGGGCTATGATATATGCATACAAGGTCCTTGGTTGATTACCTCCTACCCACCATCCTCCCACACATTCCCTCTGAGATTCCACAGTCTGTTCATGCTGCCATGTCTCTGGATCCTCTTTGTTCATTAGTTTGTTTTGCTCATTAGGTTCCACATATGAGTGAGGCCATGTGATACTTATCTTTCTCTGACTGACTTATTTCACTTAGCGTAACACTCCCCAGGTCCCTCCATGCTATCCAAAGGGTAAGAGATCCTTCCTTACTGCTGTATAGCATTTCATGGTGTAAATGTGCCACAGATTTTTATCCACTCATCTGCTGATGGGCACTTGGACTGTTTCCAGATCTTAGCCATTGTAAACTGTGCTACTATGAACATAGGGGTGCATACGTTCTTTCTGATTGGTGTTTCTGGTTTCTTAGGATATATTCCTAGAAGTGGAATCACTAGGTCAAATGGCAGTTCCATATTTAAATTTCTGAAGAAGTTCCATATTGTTTTCCATAATGGCTGCACCAGTCTGCATTCCCACCTGCAGTACACAAGGGTGCCCTTTTCTCCACATCATCGCCAGCACTTGTCATTTGTTGATCTGTTGATGGTAGCTATTCTGACAGGTGTGAGGTGATACCTCATTGTTGTTTTAATTTGCATCTCTTTGATGATCAGTGACTTTGAGCATTTTTCATATGTCTCTTGGTGGTCTGTATGTCCACTTTGGAGAAGTGTCTATTGAGGTCCTTTTTAATTGGATTGTCTTCCTTTTGTTAAGTTGTATGAGTTCCTTAGATATTTTGGATATTAACCCTTTATCAGATGTATCATTGCCAAATAAGTTCTCACATAAAGTGGTCTCTCTTTTCGTTTTGTTCATGGTTTCTTTTACTGTGTGGATGCCTTTTATTTTGATGTAGTCCCATTTGTTTTCTCCTTAGATTCGTTTGCCATAGGCGATATATCTGTAAACACTGGTACAAGAGATGTCTGAGATTTTGCTATGTATGGTTTCTTCTAGAACATTTATGGTTTCCCAACTTACATTTAAGTCTTTTACCCATTTTGAGTTTATTCGTGTGTATGGTGTCAGTTGATAGTCTAGGTTCATTTTTTTGCATGTATCTGTTCAATTTTCCCAACATCATTTATTGAAGAGACTGTCTTGACTCCACTGTATCTCTTGCCTCCTTTGCCAAATATTAATTGAGCATAATGGCTTGCATCTATTTCTGGTGTCTCTGTTCTCCCCCATTGATCTATATGCCCATTCTTGTGCCAGCACCAAGCTGTTTAGATTATAGTGGCTTTGTAGTATAACTTGATATCTGGCATTCTGATTATTCCTACTTTGTTCTTCTTTCTCAAGATTGCTGCAGCTGTTCAGGACCTTTTTTGGTTCCATATAAATTTTTGTGGTACTTACTCTAGATCTCTGAAGTATGCTGTTGCTATTTTAATAGGAATTGCATTGAATGTGTAGAATGTCTTGGATAGTATGAACATTTTAACATCCTGTAGTTTTCAAGCACAAGTCTTATCTCCTTGGTTAAGTTTATTCCTAAGTATCTTAATGATTTATTGCAATGGTAAATGGGATTGTTTAATTTCTCTTTTTGAGCATTCATTATTGGTATATAAAAAAGCCCATTGATTTTTAAGTGTTGATATTTTATCCTGCTACATTGCCAAATTCATTTATTAAATCTAATTGTTTTTTGGTGGAGTCTTTCTGGTTTTCTTTGTACAATATCTTGTCATCTGGGAATAATGAGAGTTTTACTTTCTCCTTTCTAATTTGGATGCCTTTTATTTCTTCCTCTTGTCTGATCACTGTAGCTAAGACATCCGGTGCTATATTGAATAACAGTGGTGAAAACGGACATCCCTGGTTTATTCCTGTTCTTAGGAAAAATGGTTTTAGTATGATGTTCACTGTAGGTTTGTCATATATAGCCTTTATCATGTTAAGATATGCTCTATCCTCACTTTGCTGAGTTTTTATAAAAATGGGATGTTGGGTTTTGTTGAATGCTTTTTCTGCGTCTATTAATAAGATCACATGATTTTTGTCTTTCAATTTGTTTATGTGATGTATCATGTTCATTGATTTGCAAATATTGTATCAGCTTTGCATTTTTAGAATGAATCCCACTTGGAACCATACACCTTGGTTATGGTGTATGATATTTTAATTATACTAGAGGCCCGATGCATGAAATTTATGCAAGAGTAGGCCTTTCTTCCCCCAGCTGCCAGCACCGGCTTCCCTCTGGCACCTGAGACTCGTGCTTCCCTTGCAGCTCCGGCTTCGTCCGGAAGGTTGTCCAGAAGGACATCTGGTCTAATTAGCATATAACACTTTTATTATTATAGATTGCTGGGTGTGATTTGCTAATATTTTGTTGAGGATTTTAGCATCTATATTTATTAGGGATACTAGAGACTCAGTGTACATATTCATGCATCTTGATTGAAACAGTGAACCATGAGGCTGCGGTGGGTACAGGGGCAAGTCTCAGCCCATCCTCTGTGTCCTTGCGTGGCCCCTCCCGCTGTGGCCCCCAGCCCCCTGTTTCCTGGCAGCTCTGGTGCCAACAGCAGGTACAAGGGGAGACTCCGGCACTGGCAGCAGATGCAAGAGCCATGCAGGACCCGCAATGCACAAGAGCAAAGAATTCTCAGTAACCACCAGAGGCTCACCCAATGCCATCAGTCAGCGCCCCGCCTTGGTCTAGCGCCCCCGCTTACCTGCTCCATCATCCCACCGCAGCCGTGTTCTGTGCTCTGCTGCCAATACCTGCCATGTTCCACATGCACCCCCCTGGTGGTCAGTGCATATCATAGCAACTGTTTGTTCAGTTGTTCCACCATTCTGTCTATTTGTGTATTAGGGCTTTATAGATAGATAGATAGATAGATAGATAGATAGATAGATAGATAGATAGATAGATATAGATTGGCCTATAATTTTCTTTCTTTGTAGTGTCTTTATTTGATTTTGGAATTAGAATAATGCTAGCCTCATAAAAAGAACTTACCCTGTTTCCCCAAAAATAAGACAGTGTCTTATATTAATTTTTGCTCCCAAAGATGCGCTAGGTCTTATTTTTAGGGGATGTCTTATTTTTCCATGAAGAATACGGTACACATTTATTGTTAAATGAAAATAAAGGAAATTTGTTACCTGGTACGGTAGTACAGTAGTTGTCAACACAAACCGGACAAACTGTGAATCCTACAGTATCAAGAATTTACTCATTTATTCAATGACAATCATGTCATCATCTTCTGGAACATCATCATAACAATCCAATTCCTGAATTTCCTGGTGAATTTCTTGTGACTCCATTTCTTTCAGAATCAGTGGACCAAATCTCTCATGTTTAGCCTAGGGGGGGGCCTTATCTTTGGGGGAAGCCTTATATTTCACTCAGAAGGAAACCTGTAAATAAGTTTTATTTTCGGAGGATGTCTTATTTTCAGGGAAACACGGTAGAAGTGTTCCTTCCTCTTGCATTTTTGGAGTTGTTTAAGGGGAGTATAGATGTTAGTACTTCTTTGAATGTTTGGTAAAACTCCCCTGTGAAGCCATCCAGACCTGGCTTTTGTTTGCTGGGAGTTTTTTAGTTACTGCTTCTCTTTCATAAGTTGTTATTAGCCTTTTCAGGTTTTTTTATTCTTCCTAATTTAGTCTTGGGAGGTTGTATTTTTTTCTTTGGAATTTGTCCATTTCTTAACATTGTCCAGCTTGTTGGCACATAGTTGTTCATAGTATTTTCTTACAATCCTTTGTATTTCTGTGATGTTACTTCTCCAGTTCCATTCTTTATGTTACTTACTTGGGTCTTCTCTCTGTTTCTTGATGAGTCTGGCTAACTGTTCATAAATCTTATTTATTCTTCCTCTAAAAGAACCAGCTCTTGGTTTCATTTTTTTTTCTTGGTATTTTTTTATTTTTATTTTAGTTTCTATGTCATTTATTTTTATTCTGGTGTATATTATTTTCTTCCTTCTGCTTACTCTGGGCTTTTATTGTTATTCTCTTTATAGTTCTTTAATTTGTAGTTAAATAGTTCATTATTATGGTTATTTTTTATTTATTTATTTTTTAGGTAGGTCTGTAGTGCTATGAACTTCCCTCTCAGGACTGCTTTTGCTGTGTCCCAGAGATTTGCGGTTATTGTGTGTTCATTTTTGCATTTGTTTCCAGGAAGTTTTTTATTTCTTTCTTGATCTCTTTAGTAAGCCAGTCATTGTTTAATAACATGCTGTTTAGCCTCCATGTGTTAGAATGTTTTTTGGTGTTTTTACTGTAGTTGATTTCTAATTTTATTCCATTGTGATCTGAAAAGATATTATATATAATTTCAACCTCCTTGAACTTATAAAGACTTGTTTTGCATCCTAGTATGTGGTCTATCTTTGTGAATGACCCATGTGCATTTGAGAAGACTGTATATTCTTCAGCTTTGGGGGTAAAATATTTTATAAATGTTAGTCAAATCCATCTGTTCCAGCGTGTCCTTTAGGGTCACTGATTCCTTATTCATTTTTTTTTTTTTTGTCTGGAAGATGTATCCAGTGAATTGAGTGGGGTGTTAAAGTTCCCTACAATGACTGTGTTGTTGGTAATCTCTCCCTTAAAGTCCTCTAGAAGTTTTTTATTTTTTATTTTTTTATTTAGGTGCTCCTATATTGGGTGCATATATGTT